TTACACCCTCGGAAACCCTGTACAGGGTCACTATGAGTCGGAACCGACTTGACGGCACTTAATAACAACAACAACAACATCCATAAGTATAGGTCAAGTTAATCAAATTATAGCACTTTACAGTTGTTTTCTTTATCAAAAAAAAATTTTTTTTTAATCTTTAGTCAAGTTTCAATCATCAAGCCATCAAAACTAGGTCAAATGGATACTATATACAAGTTTGGGCATTCTTGTACATCTCCCCTCACTTCATATCAGCTTGATGCTTCACTCTCAGCTCTAGCCCTCCGTGGCTCTGTCCCTTATACACAGGCTCAGGAGTCCCTAGGTCTCACCACACTTCAGACCAATTTATCTCTCTCATCTCCAGGCCAACGGGAGTCTACGTAACGTGGTCAAATTCAGCCCATATTTTCATTGCTGCCTTTCCCCCTCTTCTACTCACCAGCTGACCAGTGTGGTCACCAGCATCCTTATATGCTTGCTCATGTGTTCCCTTTGAGTTTCAGTCTTAGTGGGGGTTTGTCCTGAAAGGACTTGATTGCTTGCCTTGATGGCTCCCCAGCGAACAACTTGCTAATTCGTGTAGTAGCCAATTAGACTGCCATTTTTGTTTTGGGTTTTTCCTGTTGGTCTTCTTTCAAGAAGTATCTTCTGTAGCTCTAGCTGTTCCAGGCTGGTCTGCTTGTCCTTTCAAGTGGGAATGGCCTACCTCAGAAGGTTCTGGATGGGTCTCAGGATTTCACCTACGGTCCTATATAGTACACAAAGGCTCTGTAAGAAGCCTGTTTCACTGGGCAAGTTCTAGAACCCCTTTTAGGTATTCCAATCAGTTATAAGCTGAAGACAGGCTTACAAGGTTTCTATGATCATGTTCACCAATAGTCCTTTCTACCCCACTCAAGTGTCTACTTTATAATAGTAGGCAAGGGAAACCAATGTTTGCCTTGTAAATTCTTATGTCATTTTCCATCTGCTTGTGGGTGGTTCAAATTCACCATTCCTTGAAAACTCTATATACAGGGTCACTATGAGTAGGAACTGCCTTGACAGCACTTAACAACAACATTTGTTTGTCTGTGAGCACCTCAGTTTAAAATAAACAATATATTTTTAAAAAGCTGCCAACAATATCTGTGTTAGGAACTAGGTTTCCAAAATCAACAATTTTTTATAAGGTACAGTAGTGGTGTTTTGCTATAAGAAAACTTTATTTGCAAAAATTCAAACTTCTAAAACAGAAGTATTTATTTCTATGATGATTTCCCATGAAGGCTCTTTAATAGCCATTCTGAATAAGGTTAAAATTCGACTTTATTTTCAAAGTCTCTATCACTCACAATTTTTCACAAACACCAAATAGAATAGCAAAAGTCTTCTGTGTCACTATTAACTGCTTAACAAAAATACTTTATTTGTATTCATACTGTTTGATATTTTAAAAAATCTCTGCATGAGTACTGTATATAATAAAAGCAAATATTTCATAAAGAAATGTCTATTTTACAAACAAAATTTTGTGTACAAGCACTATGACATTTACTCACAATCCAATTTTGTGCTCACAAAATCAGATTAATTTTACACATATCACAGATACAGACTTTAAGATGAAATGTTGAAGAACTTACCGTTGCTTTGTCTAGAACTTTCACAGAATCCTCATCTGCAACTTTATGTTTCCGAAGAGCTTCTTCTAAGGTCCAGAGAGGCAGGTTCTCCCACTTTCCGAATACCACAAGATCAATGTCACTGAACACAGAAGACAAAAGTTGTTTGAAGAAGCAAAAAATCTCTCTTTTTTTTTAAACTTACATTCAAGCTTATGGACTTCAAATTGTGCAATTAAAACTTTACATTCTACCCTTTCGAATAATAATAAATGTGTTGATGATAATTGTTTTTTTCTGAGAGGAAGTTGGAAGTGCTGATTTTAACTGCTTCTTCCTTCCAGAAAGTCCTCTTTAAAGTGTTAAAGAGCAAAAATGTCACTTTGAGGACTAAGGTGTGCCTGACCCAAGCCCAGGTATTTTCAATCACCTAATATGGCACTGTGGAGTCCTGGTGTGGCGCTGTGGGCCAATGCACCAGACTGCAAAGCTGTTTGAACTGCAAGGTCGGCAGTTCAAGCTTACCAGCTGCTCCTCGGAAACCCTATACAGGGTCGCTATGTGTCGGTACTGACTCTACGGCACTTAACAATAACAACAATATGGCACTGTAAGGAGCTCTGGTAGTGTAGTGGTTACGAATCGGGCTGCGAACCTTAAGGTGAGCAGTTCGAAACTACCAGCCACTCCACGGGAGAAAGATGAGGCTTTCTGCTCCCATAAAGATTTACAGCTTTGGAAATCCTGTACAGGGTCGCTATGGGTCGGCACCGACTCGACGGCACTTAACACCAACAACAACAATATGGCACTGTGGGTAAGCACTGGACTGGGAACCACAGGGTTGACAGTTCAAACCCACCAGTTGCTCGTCGGAAACCTATAACAGGATCACTGTAAGTCAGAACCAACTCAATGACACTTAACAACAACAATATGCATGTGGAGTCCTAATGTGGTGCTATAGGATAAGCCTTGGACTACTAAGCACAAGGTCAGCAGTTCAAACCCACCAGCCACTCCTCAGAAATCCTACACAGGGTTGCTATGAGTTGAAACCAACTCGGTGGCACTTAACAACAATATGCAAGCGGGAGTGCAGTGGTTCTCAGAGATAAGCACTGAACTGTGAACCACAAAGTCAGTGGTTTGAATCCATCAGCTGTTTCATGGAAGAAAGATGAGATTTTCTGCTCCAGCAAAAGATTTAAAGACTTGGGCCCTATACAGGGTCACTATGAGTGGAAAGCAACTCCAAGGCACTTAGCAACAACAATATATGCATATGAAAGTTGGACAATGCATAAGAAAGACCATAGGACAATCAAAGCATTTGAATTAAGGTTTTGGCAAAGAACACTGACTGACAGTAGAACAAGCAAATCTGTCTTACAAGAAGTACAGTCAGAATGCTCCTTAGAAGCAATGATGGCGATACTTCACCTCTCATATATTGGACATGCTGTCAGGAGGCACCAGTCCCTGGAAATGGACAATATGCTTGGGAAAGTAAAGGGTCAGTGAAAAAAGAGAAAGACCTTCAACATGTTGGATTGACATCAATGGGCTCAAATATGTCAACTATGAGGATGGCACAATACCAGGCAGTGTTTTATTTTGTTATGCATAGGATTACTATGAGTCAGAAATGACTCAACAGCACCTAACAATCACCTTCCAGTCAGTTCTCAGAATTCAGGTCTTGGAATAAATGGTGTGATCCTGAAAGAAGTAAAACCTCAGAAAGTACTAGTTAAAGTTTCCTTTTTGTCAGAGTTTCTGGCATTAAACTTTAAAAAATGTCCTATCTGAATGAGAATGCGACTTAAAAGCAAAGAATATTGTTTCTTGTGTAAAAAGAAAAAACACACACACTTGCTTTTACATGTACAGAATCTGGAGTGATATTTGATAAACTGATTAACAGTGGCTTCCTCTAACGAGGGGAATTGAAGGGCAGATGGAAACTTGCACTATAATTATTTTTGTGCTTTTTCAAATCTGAGTACCTTATTAATAAAGTTTAATTTTTTTAGAAAGAGGGATTCAGGGCTTTGCTAGAGCAAAGAAAAATAATAACTCCAAGTTGAATGTTTTATGGCTTTGGGGCCAAGGGCAATAGTGGAAAACATGGAAAGTGTTAGGGGCCATCCACTTCAAGACATTTTAATAAATAAAAAGTATAAATTAGAATGAAGGAAAGTAAACCAAGGAGGGGGTGGAAATCACTCTACAGGGAAACATCAGCAGTCCCACAAGGGAATTTTCCTAGAATATGAGTTAAGGTAGCCCTCATTTGAGAAGACTCAAAATATGAGTTAATAGAAAACAAAAATGGGTTGTATTCCAACTCACAGTGATCCTATATGACAGAGTAGAACTGTCCCACAGGGTTTCCAAAGCTGTAAATCTTCATGGAAGCAGACCGCCACATCTTCCTCCATGAAATGGCTGGTGGTTTCACACTACTGACATTTCAACTCATAGCAAGTGCTTAACCATTGCATCACTAAAGCTCTTATCCTTAAAAGACTAAGACTCCTCAGAGAAGAGTTTTTTACCCTGAACTTCTAGGTTAGGAAGATGGAATAGCATCTAGTAGTTTGCAATCTTAATAAAAAGCAATATCTGACATTTCAGAGTACATGATATAGACAAGAAGCTCTGGTAGCGTAGTGGTTACGAATCGGGGTAGCATGAACCTCAGGGTCAGTATTTCGAAACTACCAGCTGCTTCAGGGGAGAAAGATGAAGCTTTCTGCTCCTGTAAAGATTTATAGCCTCAGAAACTTTGTACATGGTTGCTATAAGTCGGAACCGACTCCACGCCATATTAACAACAACAATGATATAGACAGGTCTCTTACCAAGGTGATACATTAATATCTGTGCTATTGGTATAAGTTATAGAGTATAGTAGTTCTCTGAAGGAGAGGAATTGCCAATTATAGCCAATTGCTAAAATGAGTGACTAACAGATTTTGTTACTACACACTCCCTTTTACATCCATCTGTGTCATTCAAGTCTTGATAAAGTGATCTGAACTTAATAGTCTGCTTCAAGGTGATATAAAAAAATATAGGTAAATAAAGTAAGTGTTTGTTTAAAAGTCTGGTTGTTTGTTTCTATGATTACACATTCAACAGTCAAAATGAATGCATTCTAGGAAAATGTACAATGCCTTGAAAGCTTTACAAATGTACTAACCTAGTAGGTAAATACAGGCCAGTTTTAAAACTTCCAAATATCTGGACCTAAAAAAGAAAAAAAAGTTATTAAATTAAGGTATTAGATGAAAGCCACCAAGTGAAGGAGGAATATGGGCTTGTGGTGGCAATTTGTAGTACGACAAAAGCATTTTTTAATTTAAGTTTTTATTGTTAATTGAGTGATAGTTTCTATGGGAGAAAATGGGTTTTACACTCCATTTCATTGCAATGATTACAATCTCCTCCGTGAATCATAATTTGCTTCTATTCTCTCTGGGTTTTCTATTTTATTTTTTGGGGGGGCGGGGTATATACTACTTATAATACTACCAAAAAACTCAGGAATATATGATCATTTTAACAACCAAAGGGCACATTCTGCAAACCTGCTCCTTGGCCGCCAGCACACAGCCTTTCTATTTCCATGAGCTTAGAGTCCTCAACTGCTCCATTTATCCATGCCCTCATTTTTGGCTTCATCTCTGATGTTGGTGCTTCTCTGGATAGGGTCCCACATTCTGCTCATACTCTTCTCTCTTGATGCTCCTAGGGCCCTTTGTTCCTGGACTTAACTATTCCTTTGTTCCTGGAATTAACTATTCCCCTCTTTTTGTTATGAATCCCTCATTCATATAAAAAAACTGTGGACTCTTGTCACATTAAAATACAAATTCTTAGTCTCTGTTCTCTAAGGAGGAACTTCTCATTACTAATGTAAGATTGTTGTTAAGTGTCATGAAGTCAGTTCCAACTCATAGTGTTCCTGTATAGGGTTTCTGAAGCTTAAATCTTTATAGGGGCAGAAAGTCTCATTTTTCTCCCATGGAGCAGCTGGTGGGCTCAAACCACTGACCTTGTAGTTAGCAATTCAGTGCTTATTCTACAGAGCCACTGTGCTCCCAAGTTAAGGTCCTTGTTGTTAAGCATTGTTGACTCAGTTCTGACTCGCAGAAACCCTAAACAGAGTTTCTGAGGAGTGGTTGCTGGGTTTGAATCACCAACCTATGGTTAGTCCAGTGCTTATCCAATAGCACCACACCAAGATTCCACAAGTTAAGGCTGTTGCTGTTGTTGTTAAGTGCCATCGAGTTGGTTCCAACTCATAGCGAACCTATATAGGGTTTCTGAGGAGCAGCTGGTGAGCTTGAACCACCAACCTTGTGGTTCAAATGACTTTTCAGTCCAGCGCATCAACCCACAGTGCCACCCCAGGTAACTGAGGTCATCTAAGTTAAGATTGTTATTGTTAAGTGCTGTTGAGTTGGTTCCGACCTATAGTGACCTTGTATAGGGTTTCCAAGGAGTGGCTGGTGGGTTTGAATTGCTACCCTGCAGTTCTCTGGTAGCGTAGTGGTTATGAATCGGGCTGTGAACCTCAGGGTCAGTAGTTCAAAACTACCAGCTGTTCTGCAGGAGAAAGATGAGGCTTTCTGCTCCCGTAAAGATTTACAGCCTTGGAAACCCTGTACAGGGTCGCTATGAGTCGGAACTGATTTCACGGCACATAACAACAACAGTTCAAACTGGCTTCGCAGTCCAGCACATTAACTCACAGCACCACACCAGGATTCCAAGTTAAGGTTAGGGTTAGACAATAACTGGCCTGTACACAGAGACCACAAAGGATACTGTGTGCTGTCAATATACTACCCTGCTATCACATAAAATCTGGACACATCCAGTCCTACCCCTTGGAGGACAGAGACTGAAGCAGGTGTGTATGCAGATAAGCACACAGACAAGAACTGGGAATTTTGCAATAATGGATGAATAATGGAAAAATCTCAATCTCTGAGGCAAAATCACTACCAGTTAAGAGTCAATGATTTAGATCAAATAGGAGAAGCAATGTAAATACATTGTAGCTGCTCAATAAAACATTAGTGTCCTCCGTCTTTTCCATTACTTATACTTGAACCTTCACTTTGTATTACCAACTGAACAAAATCACTTTCTAGCTTCTCCTTTCCTATCCTATGACAGTCTAAATAAAGAAGCACTATATTAACACAAAGTAATGGATGCTGATGGAGTCTTGGTATGGCGCTGTAGGGTGCGGCACTGGACCACAATGTGGGTTTGAACCACAAGGTCAGTCATTCAAACTCACCAGCAGCTCCCTGGAAACCCTATACAGGAACAGACTAGATGTCACTTACAAGTATTTCTTTGAATGAATCGGAAAGTGAAGTACTCACTTACTACCAACAAGGTGGTGCTGTAGGATAAACACTGAACTGCTAACTCCTAACCTAACTGCTAACTCCTAACCTCAGAAACCCTACACAGCGTTACTAACAACAACGAAAAAAAAACAGGGATCAACAATAAGCAAAAAATTACTAATCTTGGGCATTTTGTTCACTGTGTGGGAGCTATACTGAGTAACAAGGAATGGTCAGAGAGAGAAAAAGAAATAGCAGTTTCATGACAGCAGTAGATAGACTTATGCCTGCATTTGACTACAAAAATGAATGTCACTCCTGAGTGTTTCTGTGTACATCTCCCCTTACCCCCTCAAAAAAAAAAAACAAAAAACAAACAAGGGAATGGAAGCAAAAACTGTTGAATGGTGACGCACAGAGACTTGTAATCATTGCAATGAAACAATGAGTGTAAAACCAATGTTCTCCCATGTAAACTATCACTCAATTCACAATAAAAACTTAAAAACAAAAAAATGAATGTCACATGACTAATGAAACTCCCACTTGGAATTTTCATGTGTGGCACTGTAGGATAAGCACTGCACTGCTAACAAGGTCGGTTGGTTCAAACTCACCGGCTGTTCTTTGGGAACCTTATTATGAGTCAGAGCCAAGTCAATGGCACTTAACAACAACAATAAACAATGAATACCTGTTTATACTGATAGGTTGGAACAAAACTACAATCCCGTAACACATTATTACAATGAAATCTTTCTTCTCTTTATGTTGTTGTTATTGTTGTTTGGTGCCATTGAGTCGGTAGCAACTCATAACACTATGCACAACAGAATAAAACACTGCCAGGTCCTGGAACAACCTCACAATCGTTGCTATGCCTGAGCCCACTGCTGCTGTCACTGCTGCCCATCTTGTTGGGGATCTCCTCCCACCCTCCACTTTACCAAATATGCTATCCTTCTCCAGGCACTGGTCCCTCCTGATAATATATCCAAAGTTTGAAAGACAGGTCTGGCCATCCTGGCTTCCAAGGAGCACTCCGACAGTATTTCTTCCAACACAGATCCATTTGCTTTTTTGGCAGCCCATGGTACTTTCAATATGCTGCTCCAACACCATAACTCAAATGCATCAATTCTTCTGTGATCTTCCTTATTTATTCACTGTCCAACATTCACAGCATATGAGGTCACTCAAAATACCATGGCTGGGTCAGGTGTAACTTACTTCACAAACTGACCTCTTTGCTATTTAACACTTTAAAGAGGTCTTGTGAAACAGATTTGCCAATGCAATATGTCGTTTGATTTATTGACTGCTGCTTCCATGAGTGTTGATGGTTGATCCAAGCAAAATGAAGCCTTTGAGAACTTCAATCTTTTTTTCACTGATATGGATATTATTTATTAGTCCAGTGGTGAGGATTTTTGTTTTCCTTACATTGAGGTGCAATCCATACTGAAGGCTGTGGTCTCTGACCTTCATCAAGTAAGTATTTTAAGCCTCTTCGCTTTATACTGATTCCTTAGTTCTTTTTTTTTTTTTTTTAAATCTTATTATTGTGACTTGAGTAATAGTTCACATGGGAGAATATCGGTTTTGCATTCAATCTATTTATTGTATTTTGTTTCATTGCAAGTATTACAGTCCCCTCCATGAATCATCAGTAATAGTATTTGCTTCTTTTTCCTCGGGGTCTTTTTTTTTTTTAATTTTGTTGTTGCTTTTGATGTACATAAAAACACACAGGAACATATAATCCTTTAAACAACCAAAGGGCACATTCTGCAAGCCAGCCTCCTGGCCGCCAGCACATAGCCTTTCTCTTCCCATGGAGTCTAGAGTCCTCAGCTGTTCAAATCTCTTCACACCATCACCTCTGCCTCCATTAGTTGTTATTTAACACAGCAAAAAGAGTTTGTCATTCAATTCAAATAAAATAATTGGAAAGTTCCCATTCTAAAGACTGCAGAAAATTGTTTACTTTTAAAATTTAATTGAAGTATAAATCTCCAGATACACCTCCACCTGCACATGAAGACTTTGAATGAGATATGGATATTCCTCTCCCACCCTGTGGACGAGGGCTGACTACACACTCAGCCCCTAGCCAAGTACTCACATCAGCGCTGGGCCAGAGCTCCTTGATTACACTCTCGATCCTATTTACTACCTCCATCCGCATTTTCTCCTCCTCAGGTCTCGGAGACATGTATTCATAGAAATCACTGATTTCTTCATGTAGGCTGAATAAAAAGGAGGAGACATTATTAATATAGGCAGGACTAATGTAATAAGAAATCACTATTTTAAATAAGCTAATCTAATTAAATATTACAATTCAGATGAAGACTTTATATTTGCGACTATTACGATGACACTTAACAACAAGAACCTTAATTTTAATGCCACAACTTAAGTTAAGCTAAAATGTGAATGCACAGAATTTAATTTAAAAATCCAAAATAATAAATAAAATAAGATACTCTAAAAAGTTTTACCGGAAGTTCATTAGCAGGCTTTGCCGCGCTTATTAATCTGCCTGTATAGAACACTTTCTGAGTGCTGGTGATTGAAAATACCTGTACTTCGCTTTACATGTACAATCCAGTGGGCACAAACACAGGGAAGATACCGAATCTAGGTGACCCAAGCAAGATCCTGGTAGAATGGACTGTTTCCTTTTTGTAATCCATTTCTCATAGTGAACACAACAGTGCATTTTTCATAAAGTTTGCTTAGTGAAATGTGTCTAATGAACAAATCAACCTGTGAATATCAGCAGTATGAAAAGAATGACTGGCAGACCAAAGCTCCACGAAGGAACGGCAAACTTCCAAGAGACTACAATGTACAAAACACACAGGAAGCAGTGAGAGACCTGCATGTCTGTGGTAAAAGAGGGACACAAGCTTCCCAGAGGAAGGCAAGTACCGGGTGACTAAGTGAATAAGTTCAGACCTTGCCCTGTGGCAACAGGGAACTGTTTAAATGCTTCTGTGAGCGACTAGGACAAGACTGACTTTCAAAATGCTGCATTTATGCAAACAATGGTTGGCAAAGAGGTAAGACTGGATTCAGGGAGAACAGCTCATAAATTACTGCCATTGTAGAGCGAGCAGATGAAGGCCTAGACAAAGAAGGTTCAGAAAAGGAATGGGCTTCAGAAATGGCATGTGTGCATATGCATGCACACACATATTAGACAGTGGAAGGAGAGAAGAGGTGAGATGGTTTCAAGGGCTGAGGGAAATTACTGAACAGAATGAAGGAAAAAGACGAATGCTTTGAATGCAGTCAATCCTGTAGAAGAAGAAAATGAAAAACAGTATTCCTATAAAGTTGGGTAACTCTGAAGAGGGGAAAGTTGCTGGGGACAGCATACGCAGACCCTGGGTTGATCAGTGGCCCTGTGATATGGACGAAAATCCAATTCTGAGGCCCTCCTCAGGATAGCGAGCCATGGACCCTGAGGGCCAAAGGAAGTGACATCCTGACATCCCGGGTTCATTGGTTTTTGTGAACTTACTGGTTGGCTACCTCTGTATAATTTTCTTTGGTCCTAATATTGTTCATTCTATGCTTCTAACTCCAGTAATTGTAGCTTCTGAGAAAATGGTTTCTTTTACAATGCCTCTCTCTTAATGCCTCC